TCTTTTTTTGTTTTTTTAAAGATTTTTAAGGGATCCCTGGGTGGCTCAGCGGTTCAGTGCCTGCCTTTGGCCCAGGGCATGATCCTGGAGTCCCGGGATTGAGTCCCGGGTTGGGCTCCCGGCGTGGAGCCTGCTTCTCCCTCTGCCTGCCTCTCTCTCTCTCTCTCTCTCTCTCTCTCTGTGTGTGTGTGTGTTTATCATGAATAAATATGAAATAAAATAAAATTAAAAAAAATAAAGATTATTTATTTATTCATGAGAGACAGAGAGACAGAGAGAGAGAGAGGCAGAGACACAGAGGAAGAAGCAGGCTCCATACCAGGAGCCGGACATGGGACTTGATGCTGGGTCTCCAGGATCACATCCTGGGCTGAAGGTGGTGCTAAACTGCTGAGCCACCTGGCTGCTCAGGATTTCTTTCTTTCTTTTTTTTTTTTTTTTTTAATATCAGCAACTTTAAAATAAATTTCAAAATGAAATACTACAGGATATCAGAAGATAAAATAATTTAAAATATAGACTCTTTGGGCACCTGGGTGGCTCAGTTGGTTAAGTGTCTGCCTTCAGCTTGGGTCATGATCCCAGGGTCCTAGGTTGGAGCTCAGCATTGGGCTCCCTGTTCCTGCTTCTCCCTCTCCTTTTGCCCCTCCTCCCATTCGTGTTTGCTCTCTTGCTCTTTCTTGCACTATCTCAAATAAATCTGGAAAAAAAAAAAATACAGACTCATTTTAACTATTCAAGGTGTAACAGACTGACATCTAACCTATACTATCCCCAAATAGCCTGAACTTTTTCAAGTAACCATTTTCAACTGCTTTCTTAATTCTATACATATTCTATTTTTCTCTCTTAGAAGATTCTTTAAATTTCAGAATTTAGATTATATTCCTGGACTCTCCTAGGTACACATGAAAATTTACTTTCTGTTTCGTGAAGTTAGAACTTTCTTTAGCCAAAAGGCATCTCAAGAGTATATAATTTAGCCCACAGAGGATTTGATTTCTCTGCCAACTTTACTAGTGGAATGCTACTTAACAAAAAGTTCTGGAATCTCAAAGAAACAAAAGAGCTCTTCCATCACTTCCCCAAACATACTTGTTTTCAGGATAGTGAAATTCATAGTTTCATAAAAATTTTTATTAAGCATGAAAAATGAGTGTTTTTATTCATAGTGCCAACATAGGGTGAGATGGCAGTAGGAGTGTGAATGCAAGGCAGTGGAGAATGAACCAGCTATTCTAGAAATTGTACTACTCAAACTCATGACCTGAATTGATACTTAAAATTTACTATGGTTATTATAACTGTTATTTTATTATTTTGTCCCCTTCTCCAATACACCCTTTCTTTCTTAGGGAAGGAGAGTAATATAAAAGTGGAATAAGAAAATAATGGCTAACAAAACCACAGCATAAGTAAAGGAAGAACCAACATGGGATCTGCCAATAAAAATGTTCCTTTGAGGATGGCTAATCAACTCAAGCATTTCTACTGACTCACTAACATGCTACCAAGTGAACAGTTTCACATGTCTTCAAACGCAGGATCACCATTTGTTTGTTGCAGATGCTCAAAAATTATAATTATAAATGCTAGGGTTAGAGAAAAATGATTAGGTCATTCCTTTTAGTCTGACTTGGTCAGGATTATTGCAGAAAACTAGACTATTCCAGTGCTTTGCTAAAACAAAGTCTGTATTTTTTAGATATATAGGTCAGCTCTGCCTTTTCCTCGGGGAGACTTTTATTCTAGATTCTTTAAATATGCATGTTTCATTTCTCTTGCAGAGTGCATTCCTCCCATATTTCTTCAACATTTCAAATTATCTGGTTAAAATGAAAAATTCCTTTTACTTATTCAATTATCCATAATTAAACAATGTAAACATTTAAAATATGGCAGGTTCTGCCATGATTAGAGTGAAGAATCTGGTCGTCACAGTCAATATCCAAAAGAAAGATAATATCTTTTTCCATTGTAATTTATTTTATTATCATGAAAATTCTATGAAGCAGGAACAATTATTACTATTTTAAAAATGAGCAGACTGAGGCAGAGAGTGGTTAAAGAACTTGCTGAAGTCACAGAGCTAATAAATTCAGATTCAGGCTCTTTTATTCCAGGAAGTATGTTCCTACTAATTGTCATAAGTAATTAGAGGCAGATATCACGTACAACTAGTTGGAAGGAATAAACTCCTTACAAATTAACAAAAGAATGAAGTGAATTCTGAGCAAACTGTAGAAACTGAGAACCCCCAACGGAGGACAGATGATTAGCAGAACTTGCTCAACCTATGGAAAATAGGTACAGAATATAGCAGAAGAAAGACTTCTCTTGTTCAGTTTCATAGTGAAAAGGAATCGAAAGGGATTGTATTAGAACCCACAATATATCATTCATAGTATTTTGTGTATAATTAAGTTTAGGTTATAGTTTTCAACAGAGGTTTTATGAATCATTACTTTTTTATTTGTATGGCATACTTTGGAAATCTACATTTTTTTAAAAAACAGGGAATTTAATTCACTGTTCCAGAGGTAAAAATAAGGTAAAAACTGTTCCTTCTTTGACTTGGTAGTGCCATGTGGGTTGGCCTACAGGGCAGCGCAAACAGAGAGGGCCAGTTAAAGAACGATCACTCTCTCAACAGATTATCTAGGTAGAGGATTACGTCTAAAGTGCTGAGATAACTTATTAAAAGAAAGGTATTAAATGACCACTTTACTAAGATACGAAACTGAAAGACAGCAACAAGGGGAAATTTAAAAGGAAATTAAAGCAAGGACTACTTTTAAAACTTTATGCTGCTAAATCTGTATGACATAAAACTTGTGAAAAATAGAACTAAGAACATCATGGTGCCACAGAATATATTCTGAGCAACTGAAGAAAGTGATTTGAGAGACAAGGTCATCTATCAGAGCCAGATTTTAGCACTTTATTTCTAGAACTTTCGTTTAATGTTTGTTTACTAAATTTCTACACTACTTACACATTTCTCTTACATACTTGAATCATTTATCCCATGCCTTGTGTGAGTGCTTGATGTTACCAAAAATAGTTTTGCTAATTGTAGTAGTTTTCAGAAATGTAATCTCTGACCTGGTTGGAAAGGGAAGTCCCAATAGAGTGTAGCACTGTGATACCAAAAAGGAAAAACAATTACACACAACTCCCTTTCCATGGCTTGAAGTCAAGCATTCGTTTAAAACTTCTTCCATATCTTCCCAAAGTTCTAATGATAAAGGAAAATTCCCACACAAATACACCACTATTCTGTTATACACAGATACTTGTACTTAGTAGGAAAGATGTGACAGGTAAAAATCAAAATACTGGTGCATGGAGAAAACAAAAAAAAACTTATCAATACTGTGACTTTAGTGAGGCCTGTTTCTGCTTCAGAACATCACATGGGAATACTTTATTTTCCACAACATGATATCCATCCTTCTTCCATTTTCTTAAATCCTCTGGGCTCTGATTTAATTTGCTTCTCAGCTCTGTCCCCTACCGTGTTTTACAAATGGTTCCCAGACCTCTCCCATTCAAATAATTTTGCTTTATCACTCAAAAGTTAACTCTACTACTCCATTTCCAAAATATCAAGCTTTTAATTTCACATACCAGTGACAAAAAACTTGTCTTACACCTCTTTCACTAACTGCTCCCTAAGCACATGTTAACAAATTTTATCCTGATGATACTCAGAACACTAATTTCTCCCTATTTTTCCAGCATATAAATTTATTTCTGGCTTCACATACTCATCACTTCCAAGAGTAGATCCTCTGTAATGCTTTTCCAAAAGGTTAGAATCTCTTAACCTTGCACTGTGGCCTAATAATCTATACATGCAGTTGACAACTCAACAACTGCTTCCTCTGTTCTTAGGTAGCTGTCAGGATATCACATGTGCCATGAAAACAACTCACGCTAAGGTATCATGGCAAGATCCTCTTCTAGTCTGTAATCTGGGTACTCAACATTTATTGATAGTTCAAAGTAGTAGAAAAGAAAAGGTGATGTTAGCCTGAAGCACTACCTGAGCTGAGAAGTCTGGTTATTCTAAGTCAGAGAGACTCAGTATTTATGCAGAGAAGAAACTAATAGAAAGTGAGCAGAGATTATATGAGAGAAAACTAACAGATGAAGATTGCAGAGAAGAGGATCTGTGCTTCAAATATGTGGTAGAGATCAGAAGCTAGCCTTACGATGGAGAGAGAATATTTCTTCTGAAACTGAAGAAAAGACAACAAAAATATAGATAACTGCTAAAGTAAAGAAGGGTCACCGAGCTATCCCAGGATAAATCTGTCTTCATAAAACCTGAGAGCAGGATAATTATGTAGGGGTGAGAGCTGGGCATGGTACCACAATAAAGAAAAAGCAGCATCTATTATGGACTAGTTGACCTGCATATGCTCACAACAGATTATCTCAGGGAGCTACAAGATGTGGGACTAGTGGGAAAATGATGTACAGCAAGCTTCTACTAATATTGACAATTTGTAAAAACTGACTAGAGAGTGTAGCAAAACATTAATTGTTACATATGGGGAATATGTACATAGGGTCTCATTATACTACTCTCTATACTTTTGCATACCTTTGAAGTGTTTATAAGAAAAAATGCTTAAAAAAAGTGCCTCGCTATCACACTGTCTCAGGACCAACAGTCATGTCCCTCACTAAGCTCAACAATATGGCTGAACTTTCCATAAAATTTTAGAAATTTCAGAGATGCAATTGGATATAGTTATACACACACACACAAACTCTCCCTCACTTGGATTTTAAAATTCAATAAAGAGGCAAAAATAATTCTATTTGACCAGAATTTGTTCCAAATTTGTTCTAAGGAGTGAGAAATACAAATCTGCATTAAAATTAAGCTAAATGTTTTGGTGGTAATAAACTGGGTCAGATGATGAAAACAATGAGAAAAAGATTTTCTACTAAGCACATGCTTAAAAAATAAGATTATGAACACTTACTTCATCTCCAGAACTTCCTCTAAGTGTTTCCTTCTCTCTGCCCGAAGATTGGTCAAATGAGTTTCCTTTTCTGCTAGAGACTGTTGAGTGGAGGACAGCTTTGCTTTCATGGACTCCAGTTCTTGCTTTACTTTCTCCATGGCCATCAGTAATTCCTCCACCTATGATAAGTATAGAACAGAGAAAAACTGAGCATTTTGATCAATTAAAGACAGAGGAGCTAGGTAATGGGCAAAGATTAAAAGCGCATACACACATCAAAAATCCTGTACTCTTGCTGGATCAAACATATATATCAAGACAATACACCAGATAAAGAAATAAAATCTCTGGCCTTCCCACCACTATAATTCTTCTCAGGTTATGCCAAAAAGAACTTCATTTTCTTTTTGATAAACACAAGAGCATGAAGGGCATCAGTTCAAGAAGTCACACTTTGCTATAGTCTGCCCCTTTTAGACAATTTATTTGGAAATGGTTGACAAATTTCCATGGAAATAACAACATAACACACATAAAAACATAAGGAACAAAATCATAGTAGATATCTCTATAAGGATTTTAGGAAATAAAAAACATAAACTTGACTAATAACATTCAACATAAACACAAATAAGTAATTTTCATTCATCCAAAGATTTTTCTGTTTACACCATTAAAAAGAATTTTTTTTGGAGAAAACAGCTAAAATTCAATCAGATAGTTTCTTGTTCTAAAGCCAGGTAGGTAGAGTTTACATGACCTCATAGAGAGGAGAGAGAAAAGACTTGAAAAAAATTCTGAGGGAAAGGAAACAACTCAAAAACACAAGGAATGAAGAGAACACATTATGTACTTCATCCGTCACTTCCACTTATTCTAGGTGGTGTTCAAACCAGAATTACTTAAGTAAACATATTCATTTTAATTCTGAAGCAAAATATATGTCGGCAAAAATGTGTTAATACCAAAACCAATCTGAACCAGGTAATCAACCAGCCAACTGAACCTTTCACAAGAGCTTACATCAGGTTGCTGCTTGCCAAAAGGTAATTTTGGTGACAACAAGCTTTTTCAGAGGAAGAGACGAGGGATTTGCCATTCAATGACTTCTACATAAATAAAAACAATCTGTATGATACTAAAACTGAGAACAATTTAGAAACAAAAATGCAATAGAACAAAAATCAGAGTTGTTAATAGATCCCAGGATGTTAGCACCTTAGACCTAACCAAAGCTTCCATGTTGATTGGGAACAGCTGTTAAACACTGATAATAAACAGATACATTTAGTGTTTTGGCACCTAAATCACTTTACTTTGTCTATCTTTTCAGAAGTGATCCAGTTAATGTTCTCAGTTAATAGCTGTGAGAACACTGCTATGAGAGTATATATTATTATACAGCTCTCCTTGGATATGTATTCACATATTTACAAGCTTTACTTATTAAACATGTATCACTACCCACCCCTTCGAAAACTGCAAATAAGTATGATTCCATTTTAATCAGTTTAATTCATGTAAAATCTTATATAAAACTAAGTTGAAATGATATGCCAAGGTGTTGTTATAACACGAAATCAGTAATGGACAGCATCATTTATAAAAGCTCTAATAGAATATGGGATTATGCCCATCTTTTATGAACTCATCTTAAATCTCAAAAAAAAATCTCCCTCCCAACTTTTTTTTCACTACCTCAAGCAAGTTATGGTATCAGTTTCTTACATAATGTAGATATTCTTTTATTAATTATTTATTTATTTATTTCATAGATATTCTATACATACATAAGGAAGCATGTATAAATAACTTATTCCTCCCTTTTCTACAACAAAAGGAAGCCCACTTTATATATACATGTATACATCTAAAATTTTTGGCGAAGGTTTTATTGAAATACAACATAAACACAGAAAAATACACAAATGATAAATGTGCCACTTAAATAATTTTCTCTAAGTTGAACACACCAATGTAATGAGAACACAGACCAATAAACGAAACATTAAAGTCCCCAAGAAATGCATCTCAAATCCCCTTCCCAGATGAAGAGTTACCATTACTCTAGCATTCTACATTAGTTTCTCCTATTTAACTTCTTACAAATGGAATTACATAGTATATAATTTGAAGTACAGCTTTTCTTCACTCAGTGTTATATCCGTGAGAGCCTTATTGGGTATAATTATAGTTCTACAATTCTCTTAACTGTATAGACTGTGTGAAAATAACAAAATTTACTGAAGGCACTTTTGACAATAGGAATGAAATAAATTTTTTTTCTAGTTTTACCAAGAAATAACTGACATACATTACTGTGTAATTTTAAGGTGTACAGTACAATAGTTAGAGTTACACATATTGTGAAATGATTACCACCATAGGGTCAGCTAACATCCATCTTCTCCCACAAACACAATAAAAAGCATGAAGAGAAAAACCTGATTTCCTTCTTTTGATGGCAAATCTTAGGATATGGTCTCTTAACAACATTCCTATACCACAGAGCACTATTGTTACAGTTGCCTACTACTTATCTTATAACTGGAAGTTTGTACTTTTTGACCACCTTCCTCCAAATCCCACTTGACCCACCCCCTATGTCTGGTAATAAGACTGATCTCTTTTTCTATGAGTTTTTATTTGTTTTCTTTTGTCTTAGATTCCATATATAAGTAACATCATACATTATTCGTCTTTCTCTTAACTTCTTTCACTTAGCACGATACCTTCAAGATCCATCCACATTTTAATTTTTTAAGTTAAAAACTAGGGAAGTTTTTATTAATTTTAGTGGGTTAACTAGTTTTTTCATTTCTATTTCTTTTATGATTAGAGCTTCTTGTATACCAGATAAGAAAATTTTGTCTACCACAAAGTCATGGAAATATCCTATTCTTCTAAATCTTTTATTTAATTACTCATTTCACATTTAGATCTACAATATAAATACAACTGAATAAATACAGTGTAATGGTCAAAATTCATTTTTATCAAAATGGATATTCAACTAAGCACTATAAATAGCAGAAAGACTTTAATAGGCATAGTAGGAAGGCACTTTTGGTCTACTCAGCAAATGATCAGAAATAATCTATTTTTTTAAGGGTTATTTATTTTTAGAGGGAGGGGAAGAGACAGCATGCAAAAGAAAAGGAGGAGCAGAGGGAGAGAGAGAGAATCTCTAGTAGACTCCCTGCTGAGCACGGAGCCCAACACAGGGCTTGATCTCATAACCCTGAGATCATGACCTGAGCCAAAACTAAAAGTCAGACGCTCAACTGCATCCAGAAGCCCAAGACCAGAAATTAAAGTCTACTTACAAATTGTAGGAAAGATAATTTCACAATGCTTCGTATTATACATACCTTTATTTTATTTTTAAAATTTTATTTATTTATTCATGATAGTCACACAGAGAGAGACAGAGAGGCAGAGACACAGGCAGAGGGAGAAGCAGGCTCCATGCAGGGAGCCCGACGTGGGATTCGATCCCGGGTCTCCGGGATCGCGCCCCAGGCCAAAGGCAGGCGCCAAACCACTGCGCCACCCAGGGATCCCTATACATACCTTTAAATTTCATAAATAAACAATGTAATATATATATACTTTTAAATTTCATAAATAAGCAGTGTGAAATATTACATATATATAAAAGGAATATGTATATATTCCAGAACCAAGAACAATCCACACATCTATATACTCACTAATCATAAGTTTTTTGAGTGCAATTATCCAATTGTATACCCTCAGTACCCCTTGATAGGTCATCACCATTCTAAATTTGTTACTTAAACCCTTCCTTCCATTTATTTGTTTTTGCCTTTGATACATATATTCCAAAATAAATAACTTTCATTCTATCAGTTTATGAACATTGTATAAATGGAATCTTCTGACCTTATTTCATCCAACATTATGATTTTTCGTGCATTTAAAAAAAAGGGCCTACCCTATATATATATTCAAGAACCAAAAGGAAAACATCACCTACATACTCACTACATAGGAGTTAAAAGCAATGAGAGCCAACAACTTTGAGCACCTCAGCACCCAGATTATAGTTTGCTACTAAAGTGAAAGGGCTTCTTAAAAACAGAGCTGATTCCAGATTTAGGGGAAGAAATGTACAAAAGATGAACTTTGAACAATTTATGCCAGAAAGCAAGAGAAATGGGAATCGTGGCAAACAAGGATCACAATGCAGAAACCCTGATAACAAAACCAGAAAAATATATCACGAGAAAGAAAAAAAGGAAATTATACAGGAATATTCTTTCTGATTATAGGAACAAAAAAATACTAGAAAATCAAACAGAGGGAGATTAAAAAATTGAGATTTATCCTAAGACTGCAAGGTTTGTTTAATACATAAAAATATATTTCCAACAACCTTTCATGATAGAAACAGTCAAGAAAGTAGAGAAAAAGAAAAATGTTCTCAATGTGATAAAGGGCATTTATGAAAAACCGACAGCTAATATAATCTTTAATGATGAAAGATGGAATACTTTCCTTCTAAGACCAGCACCAAAAACAAGATTAGAATGTCCCTTCTCACCATGTTTATTTAATATTGTACTAGAAGCAATAGCCAGGAAAATCAGAGTATACAAAAAGTTAAAAGGTATCCACACTGGAAAGGAAGACAAAACTTTATCTAATTGAAAATGACATGATTTTATATAGTGAAAAACGCTAAGAAATCTACTAAAAAAATTATAATCAACAAGTATACAAACGTTGCATGATATAAGGTCAATATACAAAATCAACTGCCAATACACAAGCAAAGCACATTCCAAAAATGAAACTAAAAAAATAATTCCATTTAAAATAGCATCAAAAATAAAAAAAACAGCTAGGTATAAATTTAATTTAAAAATACATAACATGTATACTAAAAAATTGTAAGATTACTGAAAGAAATTAACAAAGATTTAAATAAATGGCAAAACATCATCTTCACAGATTGAAAGTCCAAAGTGATCTACAGGTTTAATGTAATCCCTATAAAGACTCACTATTTATGGAACATGGGGTTTTTATTACTTTTGGCTAAAGACACATCTTTTTAGTAACAATAAATATGTTTTAAAAGAAGCCTCCTTTTTCTTAATACACCTTGAAAGGTTTTTAAATTGTTTCATATCTCGTCAAGTTGAGATTTTTA